AATAAGCGCCTATATCAAAACTACCCCAATAAAAACTCATTATATCCTGATTCAAACCACAAAAATTCTCACTTAATTTGCTTATCCATATTCCCTTAAGAGTAACTCCACCCCATGAAATTCCTCTTGCAATTAGGTGATTGAATGGTAACATCCCACATCGTCCAGGAGAGTGGATCATGTAAGCCTTATATGTATATTTCCATCTCTACCTAGCACGAGGCCTTTTGGGAGCTAACTGGCTTTGGGTTCCGTAGGAACTCCGAAGTTAAGCGAGTTCGCGTGAGAGCAATCTCATGATGGGTGACCCACTAAGAAGTTCTCGTATGAGTTCCAAGAAACAAAATCGTGAGGGCATGGTTAGGGCTCAAAGCGGACAATATCATGCTATGGCGGACTTGAGCCCAAGATGTGGCTGGGGCCCGGGTCGGGATGTGACAATTTGGTATAAGAGTCATTACCCGCCCGGAAGTGTGCTGACGAGTACGTCGGGCCCCTAAAGGGTGGATTGTAACATCCCACATCGCCCATGAGAGTGGATCTTGTAAGCCTTATAGGTATATACTCATCTCTACCTAGCACGAGGCCTTTTGGGAGCTCACTGGCATCGGGTTCCGTTGGAACTCAGAAGTTAAGTGAGTTCACGCGAGAGCAATCCCATGATGGGTGACCCACTGGGAAGTTCTCGTGTGAGTTCCCAGAAACAAAACTATGAGGGCGTGGTCACGGCCCAAAGCGGACAATATCGTGCTATGGTGAAGTTGAGCCCGGGATGTAGTGGGGGCACGGGCCGGGATGTGAACCCAAAGCCAGTGAGCTCGTGCGAGAGCAATCCAATGAGGGGTAACCCACTGCGAAGTTCTCGTGTGAGTTCCCAAAAGGCATCGTGCTAAGTAGAGATGAGAATATACATATAAGGTTTACATAATCCACTCCCCTGGGCGATGTGGAATGTTACAGAATCCCTCAACACCAAAAATGAAAATTGCTCCAGCCCATGCCAATTGCCCACCTACTGGTAGGCCCAACTCCCACGGACTGAGCAATCAGGCGACAATGGCCTGAGGGCCTGCTGGAGGCGATATAACATCACCTACGTTATTAAATTTTATTTTATTATTATTATTATTATATTCTTTTTTTTTTGTGCATCAGGCATGTGGCTTTCACATGCGCATTTATGGCAAGTGAGCCAATTAAAAGCAGGCACGGGGCCAACATATCAGCACACTCACACCCCTCAGATGTGGGGGCAACGTGGTTTGTTCTGAGCCATTGGATTTCCAATAGTCCATATTAATTAAGTTTGATAAAAATTGTTAGAAATTATAAAAAAAATTCATAACAATATAAAAAAAAATTTATAATTTTTCTTATAAATACCCAACATCCTCTTCTAGCATGCCAAAATCAAAATCTCTCTGAATCCTTCTTTATAGTTTATAAATCTTGAGTCCGTACAATGTTTTCTTCAATGAGGTAGTTAGAAATTAAAGAGTAAGAGAAAGAATTGTTCAATCTTGAGAGCGAGAAAATGAGTTGTTCGAAATAGAGGAGCAAAAGGATCAAGAAAGTAAAAGGAGAGATGATGAAGCAAGAACTGAGAAAGCCACATAGACTTGTCATGTCATGCAAGATGTGAAGGTAATCTCTAGGCTCAGTCATTCCACGAACCTCAATAGAAAGAAGGAGCAACGATGGTAAGAATATCTTGGAAGATTACTTTGTCCCAAATAGTGTATACCTCAATGCATATTTTAGACGTCATTTTAGAATGCAACCACATTTGTTCAATAAAATCATGATTGCTATTTGCAACCACGATTCATATTGTGTGCAAAAGAACGAGGACTTTCATGTTATGGGTCTCCAACCTAAGCAAAAAATTATTGTTGCCTTGCGGATGCTTGCATATAGGGACATCTACAGACCAAGTGGATAAGATAGCAAAGATGGCGAAATTAACCGGTCTAGAGTCCCTGATGATGTTTTGCTCTGCAATTGAAGCTATCTACACCAATGAGTATCTTGGGTAACCCATGAAAATGGACCTGTAAAGGTTTCTGAAGAAGGGTAAGATGCAAGGTTTTCCTAGCATAATTGGAAGCATCCGCACAGGACTTGGTGGCAAGGAGATTATGAAATAGAAAATGAGCCAAAAGTATCAAATTGGAAGCGGTGACATCATTTGATAAATGGATTTGACATTTTTTTTTTTGGTGTTTCAGGAGCTCAAAAGAACCTCAATGTCCTTGGTCAATCCCATTGTTTAATGACGTGCTGCGAGGAAGTGCTCCTCAAGTCACATATGGAATCAATGGAATTGTGTACTCAAGAGCAGTGTTCTAAAAATCGGCCTAGGTGGTGAAGGCCCACCCTAATTTTGGGCAAATCATTTCGAAAAATCGGTCTGTAGTTAGGCGGCTCCTAGGCGAAGAGCTAGGCAGCACCTAGGCAGTCCTAGGCGGCCCTAGGTGGTCCTAGGCGGTTTATATATATATATATATATTTTTTTTTTTTTATTGATTGTGTGCTTTTTTATTTTTTGGTTTCATGACGGTATACTTATGGAAATGGTGCACCTTATTTGCAAATGATGGATTTACTACAAGTTCATCCAATAGTGAAAAGAATTGGAGCACTTTTGAGGGGATACATACAAAGAAAAGAAATAAACTAGATATAACAAGATTAAATAATTTAGTCTATGTCCAATCCGCAAGGATCATGATTCATGAACAGGAAGAATTTAGTCTATCATCCAAATCATCCTCATTATGATTATATGCTTACTGTTTTTTAAATATTGAACTTTTTGGATGTATATAATTTGTGTATTCTTCTACTTCTATTTTTGTATTTTATCATTCTTTTATTATCTAATATGCACTTATTTACAAGATATATAATAAATTTACATAAATCCGCCTAGGCACCCGCCTAGCTTCCTAAGCATTAGGCCCCTGCCCGCCGTCGGACTAGAGCCTAGCGATTTTTAGAACCTTGCTCAAGAGTGTACTATCTAGCAGACGACATTTACTCAATGTGAACATGATTTGTTAAAATAGTGTCACGTCCGCAAAGTGAAAAGGAAAAATACTTCACAAGATATCAAAAAGGGTGTAGAAAGGATGTGGAGTGTTGTTTTGGAGAATGAGAGAGTGGACTAAGCCTCAAAATCGACTAGCCATAATAATTTGGTTTAAATTCATTTTTGGTGAGAATCAAGCTGAAGACCTCTCACTTACAAGTAGTGATGGACAATGGTTATGGTGGGTGGTTAACCACGGTTATCTACCCATAACCGTTTATGCTCATACTCACATTATCATTTATTCGTCGGGTAATTGTCTAAACGGTTATACTCATACCCATAACCGTTTATAAACGGTTATACCCACAGCCATAACCGTTCATAAACGGTTAACCATACTCATAACCGCGTACCCATTTAACCGTAACCGTATACCCGTTTATCCATTTTTTAACCCATTTACCCTTTTTTCCATTACTTTTTTTTTGAACCGTACCATATACAACTCAATAATTGAAATATAATTTACGAAGGATATTTTTAACGTTATCAATCAGGTATATAATATATTTGCTAGAATTGATTTGTTACACAAAAACCTCCATTACTTGAGATAAATATTGGAAACGAAATCATTTCATGTATTTCGACTATTTTCTTCATACCAGCTAGTCTCAATTATAAAATATACAAAGTAAGTTCTAAAATTAAGGTAGTCTTACGTAGTTGAGGATATTATTCACTAAGCACCCAAGCTACTTCAATTATAAAATATACAAAGTAAGCTCTAAAATTCACGGTATCATATCTTAGGTGAGGATATTAAATCATAAGCACCAACACTGGATGTTTAAGCACCAACACTGCATGTTATAACAATGGACCATATGGATTTGCTTAGTTTTTTTATTTTTAAATTATACATATATATCTTTAAAACAATTGGATATAACAAAGAGCTCGTTCTACCTCGGTTAATACCCATATTCACTCATTTAAAATTCACGAGTATCCATAACCGTAACAGTGAAATTTAAATAGGTAGATAACCGTGGTTACCCATAACCGATGGATATTTACTATTTGCCATCCTTACTTACAAATGAAAGAAAAATTACTATACCATAATCATAAGTGACAACACACATCATTTTTAACTTCACACATCTTTTTTATTATTTAGGCTAAACTACCAATTTGCCCCCTGAACTATCACTCAACTTTCAATTTCCCCCTCAACTTTTTAGCTGGAAAATTAAGGACTTAAACTAATTTTTTTGGCCGATTTCCCCCTACCATTAGTGTTTCATAGATTTAATCCAAATTAACGTTAAAACTCTTATCATGTGCACACCACGTAACTTTCCTTTGTGAACAAAAAAACGTCACTGCACTAGACCTTTGGACACAAAAGCTAAAAAATCACACATATTTGCATAGGTTTAAATTTTAGAAATGTAAGGTTTTCAATTATTTTAAAGAATGAAGCGATCGAACTACCCACACTTGTTATGCATATGCTTTCATTTACCAGAAATTTGGATGGAATGAATGAAAAATTAACAACAAAGGGTAAATCAGCCAAAAAAATTAGTTTAAGTCCTTAATTTTTTAATTAAAAGGTTCAGGAAGGAAATCGAAAGTTAGATGATAATTTAAGGGGTATATCGACAATTTACTCTATTATTTATGATTATTAAATAAAATAAAATAAATAAAATCAACGACCAAATTAAATAGCAAATAAGAGATTGAAAAAGAGCGAAAATTTTCGTCGGAAGGGTAAAGTTGTATTCCAAACATTCTATAATTAAATTTGTCCGAGAAAATAAAATTATTATTAATACTCTAAAAATCTCATTTTACACTTCAAACATTTTATAATTAAAAAGAAAAAAAAAAAAAACTTTTTTAATGTGATTTGTAGAGTGTTAACAACGTTTCCCGAGAAAATGGAAGGGTAAAAGAGTCACCTCGTCTGGCTTGGTTCAAATCTCACTTCACCATTTCTCACCAGTCGTCGTCTTCTCCACCTGCTTCCGCCACCGAAATTCAAAACCCAGAACCAGATCATCACTATGGCCACTCCTCCCGCCGTAATTTCTGATGTGACCATGACCCAAATCGAAGAAGAAGAAGCCCCTCAACAAGATAACCCTAATTCCGAACCACCACATTCCCAATCCAAAACCGTAACCCTAGAACCCCATCAAGACCAAGAAATTCAACTAAACCCGCCTCTTCAATCGGAGCCAAACCCTAAACCCAAATCCGATGACATTCCCGCCCGATCTCCTCGTGGCACCACTACCACCACCATTACCTTCTACCGCCGCGGAACGAAGCGAAACAAGTCCGGTTCAAAGCGAAAAGCCGCCAGTTCGGGGAACAGAAAGGCCCAGCAGAAGGCCCAGCAGAAACTTCAGACCCAGAGAGAAACCCTAAATCCAATTCCATTCGTGCCCTCAAAAAATCTCGACTTTGAGAAGCACGAGAAACTCCTGAAGTGGCTCAACTTGTGGGACTTCGTCCACATCGAGTTCGATCGGAATCTTCGGGTTGATCTTCTCGCCCAGTTGATTTCCAATTTCAACCCTAACCTGAGGGGCAGCTACGTCAATGGGTCCAAGGTTATGGTCAACCGGGCCGACTTGGCACGGGCCTTGAAGCTTCCTTCAAAACAGGTGAAGAAGGGTGGTGCTGTGGCACTACCGGATGGTGCTGAGGAGCCTCCGGCGGAGGCTGCTTCGGAGGAGTCCATAGCTTTTATAGAAGAATTGGTATCAAATTGGGTGCTTTTGCACGAGGATACGTGGATGATGCCAAGCGAGGTGTTGAATTGGACTAAGGCAATCAAAGAGGGGCAGTTTGTGAAGGTGGATTGGGCTGGTTTGATTTGGTTCATGGTGGAGAAGGAGTTGGTTCAGGCGCCCAAATTGGGGGATTGCTACTATGCATCGCATTTGCAGTGTTTGATAAAATCGCAGCGTGAGGATTTCTTTATGGTGAAAGAACAAGAGACTCCCCTGGTTGATGTTGATGCTGATGCTGTTGATGTTGATGCTGTTGATGTCGATGCAGTTGATGTCGATGCAAAAGAGGAAGAAGAGGAAGAGGAAGAGGATGGTGGCGGGGATGTGATAATGGGCGGGGAGGATGATTTACAGGGACCCAGCGGATTGGAAGAACATAACATTGAATTATGTCTTGGCCAAGATAATGTGGATACAGATGATCTTAAGCAAGAGCAAGACAATGTGGAGAAAACTGATGTTAGGCAAGAGCTAGACATTGTGGATATAGCTGATGTTGGGCAGGACAGTGTGGATAGAACTGATGTTGGGCAAGAAAACGTCGAGAAAGCTGGTGTTGAGAAGGAGCAAGTTGGGGTTGAGGATGTAATGGGTTTTGAAGAATGTAAGGTGGAAGAGCCTGGCCATTGGCTTTTGGATGGGAAGAGCAGTGCAGATGAACCTTTTTTGCAGCGGTGTAATCTTGGTGTAGTTAATTTGGGTTGTGAGGAGGAAGGGAAAAAAGATATGGAGTTTGTTGAAGGAATAGATGAAGGAAACGAAGAGGAAGAAGAAGAGGACGAGGAGGAGGAAGAGCAGGAGGAGGGAGGTTTTCACCTTTCACTTAAGGATATGCCTTTAGAGGGCTTTCATGCAATGGAAGCAGCACATAACCCTCATAGTTCAGATATGTCAATGCGTGATCAATTTGCTGGGGAGTTTCTTTCTTCAAGGGACGATAGTCGAATGCTTCCTGGTAGTTGCTCATTCTTTGGAAGTGGTGGTCTTAAGAGAGAGTTTGTCCATGAAAATGCTAACTCTTCTCATCATCCTCTCAATGGTAATAAGCGGTTGAGGATGGGTGGCCCTTGGGATGGTAAGGTCTCAGGTGGTGAATTTGATACATGTTTGGAGCAAGTGCAGCACTGGATGGAAAAGGCTAAGATGGTGTATGCGGAGAAAGAACAAGTTTGCGAGCAATCAATGGTTGGCCAGCAGATGTTACTGGACGAGTTGCACCAAAGGGAGGAGGTGATTGGTCACTTGCAGAAGGCCAAGGCTGAAGAGCAGCAGAAAAGCAAAATGGAGATGTATCGGCTTGAGCATGAACTCTATGTAATGGGAAATCTCTTGGATGGCTACAGGAAGGCTTTAAAGGAAACACAAAAAGCATTTGCTGAATATAGAGCACGTTGTCCGCAAGCTGATGAGCCACTCTACAGGGATGTTCCTGGGTCAGGTGGTCTTGTTTTGAGCGCCATGGAACTGGAAAAGCAACGCCTAAAGAAAGAAGAAGAGGAAAGGATGACCCGTCTGCTGCTTGAAAAACAGATTAAGGACTTTGAAGCTGGGTGGATTAGCAAATTTGAAGCACACCCCAAGATTGCTGAATTACTGAGTAACAGGTTGCAAGATGCAGAGTTGGAAGTGAAACTTCTTATTGAACGGCTTGCAAAACGGAGGATTCCAGAAATACCAGAGTCTGCTCCAAATGAAAATGAATGATGCTTGGTGAGTCATCTGATTGTATGTTGTCTTAATAAGTTGTTTGATGCAACTAGTTGTCGTGTTTTGATGCAGTCTCACTTCGTATAATCTGATTAAAAGAGTCAATACCGTAAAAGTAAATCTCAGGTCGTAGTATTCTTGTTTATTGTCAATTTTTACTTGATTATCAATTCATCATGGTGGCTGTATTGGGAATTATATGTTCATAAATGATTACACTTTCCATAGTTCCCATCCGTCTCTCTGTGACGCTATCTATGACCTTTTTTGTATTTTGACTCTATTACTTAAAGTAAAAATATTATATTGAAACATGGCACAACTCAAACTTTACCATTCCTTGTACATGAACACAATCCCTAATGGGGATAAACACTGATAACCTTTAATGCCTCGCCTAACTATTTTATGCTGGATAAGGAACTTATTTAAGATCAGATTAGTCGGTGAAGGTTCGGGGGTTGGGACAAGATGTTGTGGAATGGAAAATTTCTTTACGTGGAGAGATATGGTATTGCAAAGCTCCTCTTTGGGTAGCTCTTTTTATCTGGATAGTTTCTATTGTTGAACATGTCTGTAGACTGTAACGAAGTTGATAAATGAGAGGAAGATTTAAGTGACTGTTGAAAAGGTAGGCAGTATTGGAGATATATTTTGTCGCAATGGTCAGCTTAAAGATTGAAATTGGTTGTGGCTTTTTCTTCATGTGCTTGGAGATTGAAAATGGTTCTTAGTTTCAGACAGAAAAGATTCATTGATGAATTTTCAATTCTTATGTTCTCATATTGCTTTGGCAGGCATCAAGTATTTTAATCATCCAAGTGGAAATTATAGGTCTAGCAGTGGTGGTAGCCCTGGCCCTTGACCATTGATGCTGATGATCCCTTTTTGGCATTGAAGTTTCTTATATAATTGTCTCCATAACAAAAGGTGGCATTATTTGTCGTAATGGAATTTCGGCCAATACATTGGCAGAAAATTAGTGTTAGTAAGCAAGAAACTGCACTGAGTAATGATAAAAGCTTAGTTTTATAGATCGTGGTTGATGTCGATGTAACGTCATGACTTTATTTTCATGCTCGAGTTCTGTAACAAGATTTTGAGGAGGCTCATAATTAATATTTACTTCGTGAATATCTGGTTAGTTTATAATCACTTCATCACATGATGAATTTTTATGCAGGTAAGAGTTCTGCAAACGTATGCCAGAAAGCTTGGTGCAGCGTTGGACGGGATGGGGAGGCAATATACAAGGAAGATCAGTGTTTTTTGCAGTGTTTGTGGCTGACAGCAGCCTCTTACTTAACTGGAAGTCAGTCGGCTTTGTGCTGTAGGTCATATGCTAGTTCGAACAGTATCCACAGTGTACATATATTTGAACTTTTGCACATCAGGATATGCTTCTCAATGCTAATGAATGATAAACAAGCTGCTTTCCTTATCTTCGTTTCCGCATCATTTGTGTAAGATCGCATGTATTTATAATCCAGCGTTGAACGAGTTTGATCTGCTGGAACCGCGAAGACCTGTTTGAAAGTGAGCAGGATTTGGGGATAAAAGCTCTTGCATATAAGGGTTCCCGCAGTAGAATTTGTGCATAAACCGCAGACTGATCCCTTCATGTTTTGCGGATAAAATTCCCTCAAAGTATCTGAGAACATAGAGATAATCTTGACTGCGGTCGCTGCACTGCATCAGCCTTTCTCTGCATGCGAGTCCCATGCAAACGCTCTTATCAGTGAGAGGCTGATGCAGCGGCCGCTCACAGAATTTCTCAAGAACAAGACGCGTTTCATCATAGAAGATCGAATGTCACTTATTCGATCAGAGCGAAACTCTAGACTGTATACTATCGTTAAATTGAAATCGCAACCCGAGCAATGGAGAATACCAGAAATTATGTCGAGCAAATCGGAAAGAAATGCAGAGTATAGGTAAGTAAAGCAGATGGGGAAGTAAAATAGGGGGGTGGGTCAAGAAAACATACATCTATTCAAATAGTGGGAAAAGATACTTCGATAATAATAAAAATTCAGAGCATAAATGGAGCTCTGCAACACAAATTCTTTGGCTACAATGTCAAGAAAGCACAAGACACTTCTACGATCGCCCCATTTACAAACCTCAGCTAAACTGGTGTGTTGAATCAGAATTTCATCGAAGAAACTGCTTGAACCCCATGCGATAAACTCTGTTAGCGACAATCTCAAGCAGCCAGGTCACAAGGATCAAAGTTGGCTCGACTTTCATGCTGCTCCACTACACCATCCGGGCAAGGAGGAAGAGATTTACATGCACTTGTTTCAGTCACTTAACACTATTTGGAACTGGGCCCAAAAGAAGAGTTGTTCTCAGAGCCCCCTGGGACAAACACAGGAAGCTGGTTTGAGGTAGAATCACGTTTGAACCTGGATTCCCTAGGCAGGTTCAGCCCTGCCCTCTCTTGGCCCTCTCTACAACCCGAATCCCTTTCATTTCTTAAGTTATCCCTAACTGGTGCACTCAAAAGCGGGCCACCAAAGAATATAGAATCCCCTGTGTACAGCAGTTTCTCCGCTTCTTGTGCTGGAGGCTTCGCTGCAGAAGATGAAGCCTCCTGTGGCGGAATAACTGGTCTTCTACTATAGCTTGCTTCTGCATTAGGATTTGGAAATCCTGTTTGTATGGATGACCTGTTTCGAGCTTCAGAAGCCGATACAGGAACTGAGACATATCGCCCTGCTTCTTGGTCCCAAACAACAGATGTTCTTCGGACATCCCTGAAAAGAGAAGTAGGTGGAGCTGAAAGCAGCATCGAATCAGTAGTACTTCCCCTCTGCATAATTGGAGCGGAAAGTTGTAATGGATCAGCAGTACTTCCCCTCTGCATGATCCTTTCATCAAATCCCATGCTGACATTAGGCAATGTTGCCTTGGCAGTTAATGGACGGTCAGGAACTAAGCTGGGGACTGAAGTGGCAGAGCTAAAACGTCCCACACCCGGAGCCTGTGGCAGAGGGCTAAGTGTGACCACTTCATGAGCATGGCTCGGACTACTGAAGCTACTTACGCTTTGAGTCCCAGTTTCATACTCATCTCGGCTACCTTGACTTGGAGCATAGGAATTTCTTGACAACCTCAGATCATTCTTCATCTCTTTATGTGCCCCCGTATCAGTGCTTACACTACTCCGCACACTCATATTGCCGCTTGAGCTAAGTTCAAGGTCAGGTTTATCCACTGGTCGTAGAACGGAGGATGATGCCCTGGCCTTGGCTGCTGCTCTCATGGCCTCACTGGAATCCAACTTTGCAAGCTTCCAAGCACTAATGCGCACAGGCCTTTTAGGACCTTTTTGCTCTCTTTCTGTAGCTCCAGCTGCGTCCGGATCAATAGTTGATGGCACCATTCCGGGGTCCAAATGCGGTACAACTTCCTCCTAATGTAGCAAAGCTTGTGTCAAGTGTAAAACATATATAAAGTTTTTCTTCTTGCATAGTAAACTTGAAAATTTAAAAATAAAAATATCAAGCTGAAGACTGGAAATGTAGTTGTGGGTCAATCCTGTGAAGCCATTCTTACAAGCCAATCAAGGAGGACTAACAAATTATGGAGAAAGGAGGAAGATTTGAAGGGCTAGATAACGTCACAACGGTAAGACATTTTTGAAAAAGAATTGTTCCTTACAAGATAAATGAAAATCGTTAATTGTACTATTTAAGCCATCATTTGGATCCAGATAATAAATCCTTATACTTGAAATATCGACATGAATATGAACTTGTTTTATATTGCACTCGCATAAGTTCACAAGGGCCCTTGTTAGATCGCGACTACATTAATATAGAGAAATAGAAGGAAGGTTACAAAGGGGAAAAGACCAAAGTGTCAGAATTACAAAAATCCATGTGAAGAACCTTATAAAAAAACAATGTTGACGAGAACACAGCACGCTCAAACCTCAAACTGTAATGACCTAGGCAAGTTACGAAAGGCATCATGGATTTAAGTTACAGCCCAAATTTTCTTGGCAAAGGTGAGAATAAAGGTGTTGCCAATATAATTTCACTTCAAAATGAGAACGAGAAAAATTTAACCAATCGACAAAGCTCCAGAGTAAAGGTAGTACACATTAAAATGCAGGCCTAAGAGTTTGAAGCCTAAAATGAGTTCAATTGAACATCGGTTCAAATCGATTTCTTCCAAAAAATGTAAAATCAAGACATAAAGTGAATACTAATGTACCTGATAATCCACAAATACTCTGGGAGGGGTACACCATGCACCCTTGTATTGCAGACCTAAAGAACTTCCTCCACTCAAGCCAGTTGTAGCTGATCCTGTTGGGGAGTGCATGTAATTTTGGAAACCCTCATCGACAGATGCTCCTCCAGGTGCCTCACTCATTGCTCTCATTGCCACGACATATTCATAGGTTGTAATACCCTAATTCAAATTTCAAAATTTCAAAATAAGATTATTTCACTTGAATTGCAACAAAAATTGCCTCTCTTATCAGATAATTGTCTTCTCTCATTTTCTGCCTATAAGTGGCCTGGTAATCCAAGCATTACAGCCTAATATTTAGCTACATAGTTCTAAAGTAAAAAGTAAAAACATCTATCCCTTAAGACCCGCTATAGCTCACTTTAGCATCACAAAAAATGAATTCAATGACTAAAGCACCGACCTTCCTAATAAGTATCATGTGGAAGAAGAAGAGTTCACAAAGTGGAACACATGCCAGCATAGAAACTGCAGTACATAAAGCCTACACAGATGAGAACCAATGTTAACAGAGGCTTTCTTCTGCAATTGATATCCGAGAGAGATTAGGATGTTAACTTTAGTTAAAGCATTTAAAAATACAATATGTACCACAACTGTTGCAAATGGGGGACGAGTGAAACCATTTCCAAGTCTATCAATAATTTCTGCCTCCATGCTTGTCTTATTAACAAAGCAGCGCACCATGACAGTAATACCAACTCCAGCTTCAATAACAAGCTGAACCGAAACGGGGGGAGACAGAGAGCATCTTAGTACCAAAAATTTAAAAATGCAGATAATAATTATCAGACTGCAATACCTACCCAAAGAAGACTGGTGGCCATCAAACATATAAAACTCACGTAATTTTTGTGTCCAACACAATTATTAAGCCACTGCAGACATGTAATATATTGAGGTTACTTAAGAGAGGAATATTAAAAATGTCAACTAAAAACAAGTTGCAGAAGATCTGCCCTTATGGAGCACTTGAAGCAACAAGAAAAATACCCGACAGTGGTGATCAAATCCATCCACGCATTTATCACAACTTCTACAGTGTTTGCTGAACTTGCGGACCTGCAACATGAAAAGTATTCATAGGTAATAAAAAAAAAAATTAAACAAGTCAACTCGCAATAATCTGTTGAGAGGGAGTATGATGAGATCATAATTTTAAACCCTTCTACAGCTTTTTCTTCGAAAACGAAGAAGATTCACAACTTCCCATACAATATTTTAGGAGTATGTAGCTTTATAAAGAAACACATGAGAAACTAAAAAGACTAGAACTGATGTATCTTTAAATTGAGGAATTATGATACAACGTTTGTAATAATGCAATACCTCAGCATTGCACAATGTGCAGAACAAAGCATCTTCACCACCCTGATTCTCAGCTGCCCCTTCCTGTGGTTTGCGGCAATCTTCGTGTACAAACAATGCACAGCAAATTCCTCCAATGCAACTCCCAGTTGTGGGTTCTTCCGGAATATTTATACCCCCAAGTTCTCCTACTGACCCTTTCCTACTAGAGTTAGCACCTGCCAAAGAACTTCTGGAAACTGATGACGGAGAAGAATGGCCTGTGGTGGCTTCATCAAACTTTCTAGGCAAGTCTTTTGCTGATAACCTATGATTTGGATTGATACCATTTGTTCCTCCATTTCCAAACTTGGACATAATTCCAGGATCTGCAGGGTTTATTGCAGTACATCGAACATAAAGAATGAAGACGAGCAGTGCCTGCAATGCCATAGAAAGATTATGGGAATAACATCAGGCATAAAAGGCCATTTCTATATAGAAGAAATTAAATGAGTTGTGATTCTGAATGAATGGTTTACGAATTGGGTGCCTGACTGGCCTAGAGAATCAATTTCGAAGTAACTCCAAACTCTACAAACTCTATCTAGTTTGGCCCACCAGATTAATTATCTTTGAAAGTAATCAAATTTGCGCCACATATTCGAAAACCTTATAAAGAATGAGCTCTCGTCTCAAATTCCAACATCTACAATAAGAATGATGAAACTTCTCAGAAGCTGATAGGATTCAATCCCATAATACTCAGAGCCGGGACTGAAGGCCAGCTTTTGATTAGTACATCATAAAGTGGATCAGATCATGGAATATATTCAAAACCAAAGACTAACAGCAGTTTTTCCTCAATAGAATTCCAGATATGCTAAT